GATGTATAAACTACATCTGACTACGTCAATGCACACAATGTCAGTAATTATTCAACTAATGCAATCAATGTTCGCTAACCGCCGCTGTTTGTTGCAGGAAAGCTGTTCACGAATTCTTCTCTATCGGGGAGCGAATAAAGAAACAAAGAACAACAACGGGCAGACGTGCTTTCAGGTAACGGCCGAGTGCTCGGCTGGGTAATTACACACGTTTGTGTGGTTTGGTGTCTTATTAAGTTAATGTAGCAGAAAGTGCCAGAGCCTCATTTCACTTTAAGCCATTATTGTGCTGTGATGCACGCGGAGGTCCCAGGTGGCAGGAATGTGTGTGACCCCCGGATCTTAATATATTTACTCTGGCGGGGCAGAAAAGGCCAGCTGAGACAATCCGTTGTGTTGAGAGAGGGAAACGAGAGGAGGAAGCATTGGAATTTGCCTCATTGGGTGCTGACCTGTGTTGCTTATAAAACAAAAAGGTCAAAACTATTTGTGCAACGGTGGAGAGAATAAAGAAATGTGGACCGCCGTAAGAGTACTAAAAACGGGACATTAGACGTTCCATCGAGGGCTTGAATCTGGTTTTTACCACCTGTTAATTTGCCCTCAGAAGTAAGAACTTTAAAACGTGTTGAGACGAGAGAAGATATGGAAAGCACCCATATAGATGCCTACTGTAATTACAGGAGAACGAGTTGATATTTTGTGCATTCAGTGGATCCCAAAAGATTGCATGTGTGTTTTCATCAGGTGGCTGTTATGTCCGGCCATTTTGAACTGGGAGAAATTATCAAAAACCACCGGGATACAGATGTGGGTGAGTAACGGAGGCTATGCGTCATCTCTTCTGTAATGTTAGACGTTTGTCATTCTGGATTCTGGAGTTAAGCTAAAGAGGTGAAAGGTAGAACGTAACTATGAAGCTGTGCAAAATAAGAGTGGTGAAAAGGAAAATGAGCGGCGCCAAAAAAGGTTCACTTCACTCTTTCACGTTCCAGTTCCCTTTGTGGAGTCTCCAAAGTTTCCCAACGGCAGAGGCGGGAGAGCACCCGTTCTCTGACAATACCCCACCCTCATCCTTTCCTCCGGGGCAACAGTGACAGCAGTATGAACCTGCCCGACTGGATGGCGGTGCCCAACGCCCCAGGGACCAACATCGTCTCTGTGCAGGTGTGTGTGTGTGTGTGTGTGTGTGTGTGTGTTTCGCATGCCATCTTACCTCAGAGTCCTGGAGATGGTTGTTTACGAGCTTTCACGTGATTCGTCGGCTTTCCTTTGAGATGTTTAAACCTTCTTCTTCTTTAAGACCTGTAGGAAGTTCCATCATATTGAAGTTCCAAGTGGAGATTTTGAACTCTTAGGAGAATAAACACCAACACACGTCACTGATTGCGATTGATTCTGATTGTGTCTATTAGATAAAAAATGTGTTTTTTCCAAACGATTTGATGGACTGCAGAAGTCTTCTGAAAAGAATATAGGATTGACTTGAGAAACGGTTTAAACTCTGATAAATTATATACGTTGCATTTATTTTTGGATGAGTTTGATCAGCATCTAGTGGTGAACAATACTCATTGCAGCATCCTGCACTTTGCTTTAGTGCATAATATCCCTGTACACCTATTTTAGTTATGGCAGATGCTGTAATTAATCATGCAGAGTAATATATATAACTAACTTAACTCTTATTATTTAAGAGCCATTTCGCTCTTATTATTTAAGAGGCATTTAATAACAATGCATGCGTAGTATCATATCTATTTTTTGTGATTGTTAACCTTATCGCATGTGAACATTATGAGCTCTGAAAGGTACAACCAGGGGCATTAGGAGAGTTTGGGGAATTATAAAATCATGGATATGGAAATTTAAAGTTTAAGTTGTTAGAGCTGTTGTACCCTGTCTATCGCCCGAAGTTGGCTGGGATGGACTCCAGCCCCCCGCGACCCTGAGTGCAGGATAAGCGGTTTGACAATGGATGGATGGATGGAAGTTGTTAGAGCGACGGAGAAAGTGATTCTGTAGGTAAATAATACGTCCACCCTCCCCCCGTCTGTCCCCCTCAGGGCTACAAGCACACAGGAGCCCTGCGGAGCTCCAGCAGTCCCAGAGGGGCGAGGACACGTTCTCCATCCCGAGGGAGGATCGGAGACAAGGAGGACCGGAGCAGGCAGAGTCGGAGACAAGCGTGAGAAAAAGAACCTCTCCTCCACTTTTCTGTCTTTGGAGCATCGTAGGTTCAACTACGCTGGTTAAAGGGACAGTGCGTTTTGTTGCTGTAGTGGTGCAGAATCAGGTTCTTCATCTAATTCCTGTTAATGTAAAGGCACCGTGTAGAGTTTAAAGCATTAATGTCACCATTAATTGGGATCTGCAGTTTCTTGGCATCTAATCATAGTCAGTAGACGGCTGTCGTCACGTGAGAAACAGAGTGAGTACCAGCATGGAGGCAAAGCTATTTACCCCTTAGGACGGAGGCAGCTGCAAAGTCCTGAAAGAATCAACACTTGTTATGGAGTATTTTCACTTTATGCCATATTACCCGTTTAGCAGGGCAGGGAAGCTGTTGCATCCACTTAAGCACTCTACAAAGCCACGACATTTTTATTTTCTTGAACAAACGAGCCATTGCTTTTGCCTGTTTGGATAAGTTCCTCATGCAACGTTTAAAGCTGAATGTTAGTCACAGGTCGGGGTTAACAGGCTGACTTACAAAAAGGTTTTTCTATATTATTACTTCTGACAGGGAAATGTATGTGTTGCATTCAGCGCCTTAGACCTTTACCTTCAGGGAGCTTTGTCTCAGGTCCTCCTGCTTCCTAACGCCCCCCCCAGGCCGGCTCCTGCCAGCGCAGCCGCACAAACCGCAGGCCAGCGAAGACGCCTCTACAGTGCGCTGCCGGGACGCGTCTTTGTGGCCACTCGATCGAACTCGGCCCAGGGAGAGCGAGAAATCAGCTTCAGTAAGGGAGACCGGGTCAAAGGTGAGTATGTGCATTTTCATGTCATGATACACACTCTGTGTGTGTGTGTGTGTGTGTGTGTGTGTGTGTGCTGGAGCATAATGCTGTTTTTTGTCTTTCGTGTGAGTCCAAAGTGCTTTTCTTAGTTGCCAGTCAGTGTTTGTGTTTACACCTGATAGGCTGCTGATCTCCACGGGAATCAGGCGCGCAGCTTGGACGTCCACACACAAGATGATTGAATGGACATTTAAAAATACGCAAAGCAACACATCACATGAACTTTTAAAAAGGTGTCAGTGAATCAAAAGGTCTCTGTTTAAGGCATCGGCCTCGCACACGCGTGCAGACTTCCATCCTACACAACTTAATAAAAGAGATCAACAAGTACCAGATTGTCAGAGACAGACCAGATCCAAGTGTTTTCAGATGACTTTGTTGTATGTCGTAACATGAGTGTAAGGTCTCTGTATGTGTTTGTATTCAATGTCTGCAGGTATGAATATGTGTGTGTTTGTGAGTGATGCTAAAGTGTCGCCAGGTATGTATGTCTTGGTGAGTATGAAGGCGCTTTGCATGTTTCTGTGTGTCTCCCTTTTATTTATTTTCTGTCCCGATAATGTGATTGTCTTTTTGAGTCGGTTCCTTTTCGTCACGGTGTTTGTGTTGGGCGCTCGTTGAATTTGCCACGTTTCCTGACGCGCCGCTCTTTTCTGAACCCCCCCCCCCCCCCCCTCCAAACTTTTAATTTATTAAAAGTTGGGAAGGCGGGATTTGAGAGGGAGCGCCCGGGTAGAAAGGGGTTGGTTCCCCTCCAACTGCGGGAGGAAGTGATGCTTCGGAGCCAAGACAACCGATCAGGTGATCAGCACCACACACACACACACACACACACACACACACACACACAGCAGGCTGAATCAGAAAAACACCCAATTAAAAGGGAAAATATCTTTTAGCCAGAAGTTTCATATTTGTTCACCAAAGGTCTGATGATGCAAGTTTTAGTAACACGTGACAATGATTTAAGATAACAAGCTATTATTCTTTAAATATATATCAACAACGCTGGTTGCCTCGGCCCCTCACGGGGAAAGTCACTGCTCTGCGCTGAGAAATACACACCAGGCACTTCCGATAGTTAAACAAACGAGGCATAAGGTGTTAGTTAGTGAGCTTGTTGCTGTTTGTCTGTTTTTCTCACCTTTGGAAGGAACCAATCTAGATGTTTTCTTATGATTTCCAGTCTTTGTGCTAAGCTAAGCTAACAGGCTGCTGGTTGTGGTTTTATTCTCACTGTGCAAATACAAAAGTGGTATAAATGTTCGCATCCAACACATAAGTAATGGAAATGTATTCACCAAAATGTCAAACTGTTACTTTGAACTATTCGTTAGTTCCGGAGTAAATTCCGAATGATTGATTCAGATTAATAATAATTTGATTAAATTCTTGTCTGGCCAGCAGCCAAAAACAACCCTTTTCAATTTATTATGACGTGAAGGAAAGTCAGGGTAGAAAAGCAAATATTCTGATATCTTTTTTAGCAATACGTACTTACAAACATAATTATACACACACAATTATCAACATATATACCTCATTATAATCTATTTATAGCATTGTATATAATTATTGTAGCTTCCCAGAAATATTCAGAAGGTTGTACAAAACAATAATGATGCATGTACATTATACTGCACAATTTACTAATATCACAAATTATACAGTTTGACGCTCAGATTATAACGTCATACGTATGATTTCAATGTATTACGGGTAATTGTTTCAGCACTGATACACATATTAGTCGTAGGTTTAAGTACAGTAATAGTACACAGACTTTGAGCAGTACCTGCAGTATATCGGCTCTTGCATTGGGATTAAACGTAGCTGCCACCATGCTGACGTCCCTGTGATTTTGTGTTTCAGAGAGCCGTGGAGAACGAGCCAAAAGGCTCTTCCGCCATTACACTGTGGGATCCTATGACAGCTTTGACGCTCCCAGGCAAGAGTTACTTTACTTTATCGACGGCCAACACCGATGTGAAGCAAACGGAAGCTCATTCACTCCGAAAACAAGCAGCCGCCCAAACGCATTCTCTAAGCAGCGGGCCTAATTGGATGAGTTAAGGGGACGCTGGTGTCGATGTATCGGTGAGGTCACTCCAGAACGGCACTTCACCTACCAGAGGGCTCTGTGAGATGAACAACAAGGGCACTTCGGGGGGGCACGCTGGGTGACTAAAGAGGCATTTGGATGCTTCGGTGACCGACTTGATGTGACACGAGGACCAGAAGGAAGCATGAAAGGATCAGGTTTTATGACACAGACGCATCCTGGTTGAATGAAGGTCGAGGGAAGGGCGGCTTGACATTCAGAAAATTGCTCTACTGCGGCAAAAAAGGGGCTCAGCCGCGGGGATGAAGAGGGTGGTGTAACCTGTCCGTCCGCCCAGTGGGCACCGCAAACAAAACGGACCACCTTTTCATTATCACCCTGCTGCTCCAATATTTAGATACGGAGCACGCGCTGAGAGGGGATTTGTTTGCACAACGACGTACTGTACACATCCATTCAGACCAGATGATTCATTTAGGGATTCATTCGTTCCAGTGCTGCTTCGCCGTGATGCGAGTGATTCACGCGTTAGGATGTGAGGGTCCGCTGCCTCGGGTCTACAAGCTGCGCCCATGCTGTAGTCGTCCCAAAGGATGCACATGATTACCGGCTGTGTTGTGTTTAGCTGGACCTGGGCAGGATTTTAGAGTGGGTTTCTCCTTTTGTGCGTCTGCCTTTCGGCTTTTGGGTGCGAAGCTTCACTGTGAGGTTGCAATTTTAAGGTTGGTTGAGCTTGTCGGTGATGGTGCACATGCAATCAGAGCGATCTGATGACTAAGATCCAGTAACACGTGGGGGAAACGCTCTTTGTTTGAGTGTGACTTTCCCTCATTTACTCTAATATAATTACCTTCAATGCCGCTTTGACGCAAACTCATTTCAGTATCCACGACTCGGACTGAGCAATGAGAGGATTGTTTACAAGAAAGCCATTATCAATCACATGTATTATTCAGATGAAGCCCCGCCTTCCCCCAATTTGTTGTTTGGTTGGTCAGCATCATTCTTTATCATTCCTCAACTTTCTCTTTCAAGTCTTCTTATTTCTTTCTAAAGTCTTCCAGTCAGAATCATTAATTAATACATTGCTTTTCATCAAAAGTGACATTTAATGCAAGCAAGGCACTTCATGGCAAGGCCATACAGACTTACACACACATGCCATGGATGATTACAAGCATTTACTGAAGCACAGACGGAGGCCGGCACTATTTGTTTGCCTGACTCATAACCACCCTCACATAGTCCTACTTTCACAGCCTTTATCACAACATGTAATATCTCACGTATCCCTTTGTTGATTTGGCCACATCTCTGCATCCCTCCTGTGCTGTCTGTTTACCACCGCGTTGCTAACCCCCCCGTGCACTTTTAATTTTCTTTCTATCACTCTTTCTCCCCTGTGGTGTCTCCATCTGGAGGTCAAACAATGAAGGTCGCTCTAAAGGGAGAGCAGGCCTGCGGAAAGGTATGAAGAGGTTGGATGATGGAAGGAGGGCATTCTGTGCAAACTTTTCTCACGTGAAAGTGAGAATTTTTCTATTACGAATAGAAATATCATACATGTGTATATATAACACATCCATCGGTTAGATTGAACTGACATCCAAGACGATGAATAGTGATGTCTATGACCCCATGACTTTCTGAATTTGGTAGCAAAGGACATTAAAACGAGCCGTGACAACCAAAACCTGGCAGTCAGTTGACTGGATAACTGGATAATGCAGTGTGGCAATTCAATCAAAAAACCTGAGTGAGTGATATGATGACTTAGGAACAAGCAGTGACAAATGGAGAACTTTGACGAACGTCTGCGACACCCCGCCTACACGTTTCCCGTAACCACATGTTGCACCTTTGCTCCCCTTTAGCTCCTCCTCCTTGAACCCCGACAGGACAACTTTTCCTTCCATGGTACAAACAGCCTGTCTGTCAGCATTTGGTTCTTCTACCTTTGTGGTTTTATCAGTGTGTTCTCGCTGACACAACACGCTGTGCCCCTTTTCATAATAAAGTAGATGGAAGCTGCGTTCTCATGTCATCGGATCTCTGTGTCGTTGCCACAGCTTAGATGTAGCGATTAAACGCTACATAATCAGTACACGCTGCCGCTCCTCTCCCGGCCCACATGAGATCATCTGTGCGCCAACGTTCGGTCAAATAAGGACAAGTGAGCTCACAATTTGGGGGAGAGATGCAGAACACCACCACCACTGCAGTTGCATTGCTTTTTGCTTGCGCATAGGCAACAGAAAGGTCTTCTCATTGGATTTAAAAAATATATATTTCTCCAGAAAGTAGGAGAATTAATGAAACTTTATGCTAAAATTTGCAAAAAGAGACAGACAACATCACTAAAGAGCGTGTTGGGGTTTGGCCACTGTATGAAAGACACTAGAGGATGCAGTGGGTAGACATGCAGATACACAAAACCACATAATCTGGACCTTCTGTCAACATTTGTGCTCCTGCTCCCTCCCCCTTCTCTCTCTCCCTCTCTCTATCCACCTCCCTCACTTCCGCTTTCCCTCATCCTCTCTTTATCTCTCTCCTCACACATGCATGCACACACACACACACACACACACACACACTGTACACAGAATCACAGCGGTGGAGCCTGACATGCAGGGAGAAAAACAAAAAGGCAGAGATGTGAGTAGAGAGGGGAACAAGAGCTGTGATCATCCTCAAAGGCAGGAGGGAGGCAAGAGAGAGAGAGACGTAGAGGGGAAAGGAAGGAGGGAGGGAGGGAGGGCAAGTTGATGAGGAATGCTTCGACATACATGGAAGGAGGCTCTGACTGAGAAATGATGTGAGTGGCAATTTGAGAGAATCTCTCTCTCTCTCTCTGTTTATCTGTCTCTCTCTCCTTCTCCTTGTCCTCCTGCTCTTCCTTCTTCCGCCACTCACCCGCCAGCTGTTTCTCTGTCCTCTCTCCTCTTCCCGTCTGCGTCGAGGTGCCTCTTCCTCCCCCCTCTTCGCCTCGCTCTACCCTCTCATTCATTCATGCTTTGTTTACAGCAAACGTGAGGCAACTTTGTCTGCATGAATGTGTTCCTGTTTGTGTGTGCATGCCATTTAAAGGATATGTAACAATACCTAATAATAAATAATAATAATAATAATTTGACTTGCCTTCCATCACAGTGTCCCATGACGATACCGGTTCAATCATTTGAACTTCGAGACCAGCTTGCACTGTATGCAGCGCAGACTTATCTCAGTCACATCCATTCTTATGAATGGGAAGTCATGACAGTGCTGGATGAGCAGAGTCAATTCTACATTCAAATCGTACAGTAGAAATTACGAGGATGGGTGAGGGTGAAGAGGAGAAGGAGATAGAGGAGAGACAGAAGTGTTGTTTGTGAGTTGTTGTGTCGGTGCACGCATGTGTGGACTGTGTGCGTTCGGGCATTCGTCTCCTGCGAACAAACCCAATCACCTCCCACTCTCTCTTTCTCTAAATTACCTAATTTCTCGATCTACTTTTCTTAAACCACCTTCTTCCCCCTCCCGCTCGCCTTGCTCCTGTACTCCCTCTCTCTCTCTCTCTCTCTCTCTCTCTCTGTGTCGCAGTCACAATGAACCATCTCCATCTCTCCCATTCCTCCTCTCTCTCTCTGTCTTAAGTATGAAGGGGTTGGGAGAGCTCGGCCCTCTCCCTTTCCCTTCTCCCATCTCTCTCTCCTCCTCCTCCTCCTCCTCCTCCTCTTCCTCTCCTCCTCCAACTCCTCCTCTCTCGCGGCTCACGCTCGCTGCTGTCTCGCTGGAAGACGAGAAGGAGCAGGATCAGGAGAAGGAGGAGGAGGAGAGGGAGGGGAGGAAATGGCGATGGGGGCATGCGGCGAGGAGGATCTCTCCCTCTCCCTCTCCCTCTCTTCTTCCTGGCCGTCGCTCGGCCCTGTGAATAGGAGCGTCTGGTTCATTTACAGGTACCTGGCATGGCTTTCATTACCCTCCTCCCGTCAACTCCCTCCCTCCCTCCCTCCAGAGATGAATGCATGTGGACGTTACGAATGTCAGGACAGGATCTATGAGACAGATTGGCAGATGTTGCAATGCATGCCTGCAGACGGATGTGTTTGATTCAGCGTGTGTCCATGTGAATGCGAGTGTGTGTGTGTGCGATGTATGTGTGTGGAGACGGACGAGCGCTGCTGCTGCACAGCAGCCCGGCGTATGAGCAGTGCAGCCGTTCTGTGTTTCGCTGTGGGAACATCTGTGTGTGTGTGTGTGTCGTTTTATTTCTCTCTGCTTTGAATCGCTGAACAGACGTCCTCTAGCAGTGCTGCTTGCAGCTTTTACTGATGCGCAGATTGATTGCGTGTTTGTGTGCATGCATTCCTAATGTTTGCGTGTGCGTGTGTGTGTGTGTGTGTGTGTGTGTGTGTGTGTGTGTGTGTGTGTACGTGCATGGATGATGTGTTTGCTGTTGTCCATCAAAAGCTTAAAGGTCGGAAGGGACATTTCCCTTTCACTCTTGACTGGTTGATTGCATGTGTTCTTGTGTCCTGCGTATTGTGCGGCGCGTGCGTTTACTAGTGTGTATGTGAGAGAGAGAGAGAGAGAGAGAGGCTGCCGACAAATTGGAAACAGTGAGGGAGTTTTAACGATGCAGCATGCATGACAAGTTGCAGAGTTCTTTCCTGCACGGCCAAACCAGTTTGATATCCCTGCTTTTAAAAACGCAGCATTGGGCCGTGCGCTGTGATGCTTTGTCCAGCTCAGTTGATCGTATTTGATACGCTGATATTTGGTCGCTAATACTCAGGAAGCGGCACAGTTACCGTGTCACGGTTCTGGATCCTCTGAAGGACGCAGTGCACACAGGTAGGCCCAAGTGGCTGCACCTGCTCCTCTCGCTAAATAAGGCTACACGGCGTCACAAACAGTTAAACTAAGGCCGTGTTTAGTTTTCAACTTGGAAAGACAAGTTTCAAAGTTTGTCGCTTTCTCTCGAACACCCAACAAAAGTATGAATAGTGCTGATGTACTGAGATGTGATTAATGATACCAGAAGTTTAAGTTGTGTTTTAGCACCCTGTGTTTACAACATGGCTGGGACAGATTTGGAGACAACAGAGGGGGGGGGCTGGTTCTGATCAGCACCAGCCCCCCCCCCCCCCCCCCCCCATCAGAAATGAAAGATTTCATCGCTGCTCTTTGAAATGTTTCAGGATCCAGTTGCTTAAAGTTGATGACACCCTTCGAGTCAGTTGCACGCGTCGGTCGGATGGTATTTCAGTGATACCGTGCATGCGACCCTGAGGACAAACACCCACACTGATACCGTGACTCAATGTAGTAGAAGCAGTCCAACAAAAACACGACGGCTGTGACCTCATGGCAGGTCATTCGTGCCAGAGTTATGAACGAGTCTCACCTTGTTCTCACTTGTGACTCCGAGTGCATCGTAGCAGTGCTCCATAAAGTTTTCATCAGGCATATTCTGCATTTATTGCTGCCTTTGGTGTCCCCTCCCAGAGCGGTTTGTCATTCTGATGAGTTCACATTGCCGGCTTCCCAGCACTTAGCCTCATGAGGCACTGAGTGAAGTAAAGAAAATCAACAAGAGTTATCACCGGCTTTTGGGTGTAATCGTTCGGCGGATGTCGTGTTTGAGATGTTAATGATTCTGTCCCTGAAATAATATGCAATAATGTTTTAACTGAGACTAAACAACATCAGTAAAAAAACAAGGGCAAAAATATGATTGTAACCAAGGTGTTGTCTTTAAGCATGCTGCGTTGCCATGGTGACTTGTGGCTTGTGAAAGGGCAGACTAACAATCTACACAGGGCACGTCTGTGTATATTTCCTTTTCCTTTTTGAACGTGTTTGCACGTACGGTACGTGCTCGTGTATCCACTCGGGACCCTCCACGGCGGGTTGAGATCCGTGCTGGCCAACGGAGATGGACGGAAGAGAACAAGAATGACAAAGAGAAAGAGCCCTTGGCGGAGACAGAGAGGCTCACACAGCCTGTGGAGAGAATCACACACTCAATAGACTGAATTAACAAGATCATGAGAGGAAAATGTGATCAGAAAAAGAAGTGTGAAGAAGTTTGAAGAACACGGGAGGGAAGCCGGTGCAGAGGGAAGTGGGGAGTAGGCGGGGCCATCAGGATGGAAAGATGCCAGTGAAGAGTGAGGGAAACGGGGATGAACAGATGGAGTGGGCCGGCGCTATTTGAGTGCACGGTGGATTCATGAGCATGTGGTTACAGTGTGTTACAGCTGACACGGAATATAAACCCCTCTGACCCGCTGACGGACTGAATCTCTTTTTCGGGGGCTTCGGCGTTCGCAAAAACAAGACAAGAGTCCATTCGGCGTCCCTGAGAGGTGCCGCTGTAATGGACTGAAGGTTCACCGAGGTTGTGGAAGAAACCAGCTCTGTGCTCGCGGTCAGAAACATACGGCAAAGTGAATCGTTGACTACGTCACAGCAGCACTGTGGGGAATGTGGCCTAAATTGGTGTTGGTTGGAGCTTAACCGTGGTTTTGGATTGAAGCGGCAACATTTTTTAAATTTAATAAAATTCATAGTATGATCACTGAAGCATTTATGGTTTCTATTTCCAAAATGTATCATCTTTCTACAAATTTAGAACATGGGACACATTGCTTCTATTACTATTATTATTACTAATATTAATTTATTTAAGACTATTATAAAAAAATAACATAATTGAGGGTACATAAACTGTTATAGATATGAAAGATATCAGATAAATATCAATCATATGGAAGCTTACAGCATACAAACAGAAAATAAAATCTGAGTAGTAATATCGGAAACTAGCATTTATATGAGTACTAATACAAATTGTGCCAAGTGAAGGGACCAAAACCTGAAATAAGTTTCCTAATGGTACTGATGAGGAAACAGGAAGTGTGAAGCGCAGCAGTGGGAAGGAGCGGTGTAGTTGGGTTATGGAGACTTTCTACCCAAGACATGTAAGGATGCGCATTATACGTCCGTCTTTTGTCTTCACCTGTGTTATTCATCTTTGTCTCTCTTTTTCTTCTCTCTGCTAGTGACTATATAATCAAGGAGAAGTCGGTGCTTCTGCAGAAAAAGGACAGCGAGGGTTTCGGCTTTGTGTTGCGAGGGGCCAAAGGTAAGACGTGTGAAATATTCACTGCATTCGACAACAAAATATTCACATCCTGCCTCGAAATCACGCTCACTGATTTCTCAGTCACATTCATAATATTTTTATATTTTCACGGTGTCTCCAGCTCAGACTCCTATTGAGGAGTTCACCCCGACCCCGGCCTTCCCCGCCCTGCAGTACCTGGAGTCAGTGGACGAGGGAGGCGTCGCCTGGAGGGCCGGTCTCAGGATGGGGGATTTCCTCATAGAGGTGCTGCCACGATTGACCGTTGCATTATGGGTCGGAATGGATCGGCCGCTGACAGATTCTAATGATTTCTGAACCTACCTCCCATAACTAGAAGGCAAAGGTGTACAGTCCTCTTAATAGGTGATGTGGGATAGGACGTCTATGATCTTCGTCTGTGGTTTTCTTTATGTTTCATTAAAACAATTTATTTTATTTGTATCGTGGTTCAAGACCTCACTTTCGCCCAAAGTTGAATAAAAATAGTTTGTAGGTTTTTGAGATACTAGCGTCTAACAGCCTGTAAAAATGTATACAAATGTATATATTTCAGTCGAATGAATGACTTATATAAGTAATTGATGATAAATAGTAGTAAACTCAGTCTCTTTGTCTTTACAAGGTCAATGGACAGAATGTGGTGAAGGTCGGTCACCGACAAGTTGTCAACATGATCCGGCAAGGTGGCAACAGCCTCATGGTAAAGGTAGTCATGGTAACCCGAAACCCCGACATGGAGGAGGGTTCGAGGAAGAAAAGTAAGAGTCTGTGTCCTGCGTGCTGATCCTTGTTCTTCAACAAGGATCCCAAATGACCTCGGGTGCCTTTTTTCCATCTCCCCCCTCCAGTCCCCCAGCAGAGTAAGAGGCTGAACACTCCGGCCATCGCCCTACGATCCAAATCCATGACTTCAGAGCTGGAGGAGATGGGTAAGAAATTGGCGGGAATTACGGTTTTTGGGGTTAAAAGTGACTGTGATGAATAGATTGATGTGATACGAGATGATGGAAACAGTGTGAAGGAGATGACTGTAGATGCTGAAAGTGTGGAGCCAAGTTAGGCCAGGCCTAAGTTTAGCTAGCTACTAGCGACAAAAAAAAGAAGAGGATTGGCTTCCGATGGCGATGACGGTCTCAACGCATTTCACTGTTCTTTCAGAGGTTCCACTCTGTCACTTCCAGCACCCTCACTGCAGGTAACCCCACCCAGGAAAAAGTGTCCGCTATCCACCCTGTGATTCCTCTCTCACTGCCCGCATCTCTTACCTCTTATCCTCCTGCACATCCCCCCTCCGCCTTCCCCCCCCAACGCTCCCTGGCCCGCCCACAGCTTTAACCCCAGCGCCCACAGAGCAGTGTACCCCAACACACACACACACACACCCACACACACACACACACACACACACACACACACACACACACACACACACACACACACACACACACACACACACACACTCAGCAAGTGTTGGTTGCCAAGGTAACGCTGCAGGGGAACGGCATCACCTGAGGAGAGTTTTCAGGGTGCCAAACATTGGCACAAGTGTCTGGTCTCCATGTATTTGTTGATCAAGTTGCATAGTGTGTCCTTGATGTCTTTTCTCGAGAATGTCTTTGATTCATTCGGACAAAATCATACCCGAGGATACATTTATTGAGATGAGCAATTATTGAGAAAAAAGAAACTTTGTTGCAGGTCTGTTGCTATGGTGACAAATAATGTGTGGCTATGCTAATGCCATCTCTATTTGAGGCAAAGCAGTGGGAGGACAGTGCATGCAGATGGCGGGCATCCCCCTTTACCAGAATATTGGCCCGTGTTTTCTAGAGTGCTGAGTCCCTGACACCTGGAGTCAGCATTGTTGCGCGTCTGTTCCCGCTTCTCAAATTTGGTTTAAAAAAAGCCTGAAATAAGTTTCGTAGTTTAAACCAGGTTAAGAAATGACGAGGTTTTGTTCTTCGTTGGTAGGTACGCTACTCCAACATGTTTAACTTCTTCATCTAAGGTAAATGTAGGTAAAAGTGTAATGAACTGCTGATCGTCATCATGACTAAACTATATCCAGAGTGTAGGAATCCGCCCTTTGCTTTATTCCTCCCCCATCTCCTCACCTCACTTGCCTACTCGATGTAGTGTGGCCTCACCGGCACAAAGCATGATCGCCCAGTTTAAAACAAAGGTGCCAGTTTCCAGAAGGCCAAACGCCACCTCCCTTCCAACACGCTGTTATCTAACCACTAGCCCTGTCTGTGTGCTGTGATACTGTATTCATTATCTCAGTGCATTGAGACCTAAAGGTGCCACAAATGAAAACGTTTTACGAACAGTGTTGTATTCATAGAGACATCGGCCCGATAGCTCAATAGCAGACGGCAAAACGTCATCATTTTAGAGAGGGTGTTGCTATTTTTCACTGTGTACACAAGCAACATCGTCACTACAAGGTATTAAAATGAACGAAAGTGGTGTAGAGTACATATGGTTTGAGGTAATTCAGAAACATTACATTACATATTTTGTCCCCCAGAGAGCATTTTCAATTTGATTGATAAGTCCCACTTTGTGTGGATTTTGGTTAAAATTAAAATAAAGAAAATCTGTATCAATTTTGGTTATTTTACGTGTTTTATGTGAAATAATATCTCTCAGCTAAGATACATTACGATTTTTTGTGTAGGTGTGCATAACAATAAAAATGCCCAGATCCTTGAGATGTGTGTTTTTAGTTTGCTATCACACACATGTGGTAACTTAGATTGTCTTTTGCTTCCTTGTGGATCGAGGTGAGAGGAGCAGAGTGTGGGATGAAGCCTCGTCAGCCCGACCATATGCTCATTCTAATTCATCAGAATTCATTTAGACGTGACGTCTATTCAATCTCACCTCTGTGATCGGTGCAGTGTCCCAGTTCACCTAAAAGTCATGCTGTTAAGTTAACGGGGACATTAAAACAAAAACAATCCTGCGGTAAACTCGAGTCCTCGAATGCTGTTTTTTTTTTCAAGACAATCATTTAATAATTTTACTTTTGCAGATAACTATTCCCATTCAGTCCACACACACAGGCTCACTCCCACTTGGATGCAAACACTGAAGGGTCACCTTAAATTCTTCCCCTTGACATCCTTGACTCTTCGCTGGTTTAAACACTAACTGTCTTTTTGTCTCTCCTCCTTTGTCCCCACTACACGGCTGGCTGCATCCTAACTGTTTAACAGTGGAGAGAGGTGGGAGTCCGCTTCAGACTAATTCCACATATGTGTGCGTGTTTTCAAGTGTGTTAGAGAGAATAACAGCAAGCAGCAGACTGTGTGTGTGTGCAACATATTCACTGTAACATAAGTGTGCGCGCATCAGCTGTCTCAAAGTGTGGCTGTGATGGGAGATGGAAAAGCCTGGCGGGGTGACTCACTTTGTCGGGCTCTGGGGAAAACGATTAGTATTCACTGTAACAACACTATCTCACTTTCACTCCTGCCAAACCGTATGTCTCCTTTTGTCCTCCTTCCAGCTGCTACCCCTTGGAAAAAAAAATCAGGTATGCTCCGGTGCTCTCTGGCTCAAGGCGTCGTCTTTACGGCTCCTCCAAAATGACTCGGCATTCAGTCCCTTTATTGGGCTGATTCTGAACTTCTTCTCTTCTAGAATTCGAATCCTCACAAGTTACAGAGAAGAAGAGGACAGTCTATCAGATGGCTTTGAGTAAGGGAGCTCATGTTTGCCAGTGGATGTTTACTCAATGTCTTTTTCTTATCCACGTTCATCAAGTGTGTCCTTTCCCCACACTTCCAACCTTCCTTTTGTCGCTGTCCATTTTTTCTGTTTCATTTCTGTGTGTGCGTGTCTCTTTCTCTCGCTCTGTCTCTTCTCATCTCAGATAAACTAGATGAAATTCTTGCAGCAGCTCAGCAGACAATCAGCACCAACGAGGCACCGGGGACACGGGGACAGGGGCCAAAAAGAGACAGAGGACGAAGTTTCTATGGCAATGAGGTGTGTGCCGTGAAACATGCTACGCGTGTCCGTGTACGTGTCCTGAGACATGCGTGTGCTCTTGTGTAAAGTAAAAGGCAGCTATAATCCTCTAACTGTTACGAAGAACACTCGAACCAACGTTCGGTCAAGACAAGAGACACTTTTCACATGTTGGATGAGCTGGAAGGGGCTGCGTTTAACAACAGCTAAACCATTTGTCTCATGTGACTCGTGCAGTATAATGCAAATAAAATGTCTCCCGTTGTACCAAACACAGGCCATTTACATTTTTGTATAAACACGTGAGTACTGTTTATGTCTTTTGAGGTTTCTACTTAATAAGGATTTAGCTTTAGCTTTATATAAATTAATATTATGTTTAAACATTTTCTGCAGTTAAACGCAGCTCCCATTAATTCATTCAATTCAGAAAGAGCTTTTAAACTAACAGCATTTACGTGAATTCATCCATTATGAATGGATATTATTCTTTTTGGTCTTCTTTGTTCACCGTGGAGGCATGCAAGAAAAGCTAAGTTGCGCCACCAACTGCACGATTGCGTCTCCCATCGCTCTCCACTTTCCGTTCAAATGTTCCTTTTTTTGGACTTCACAGCAGAACTACGGCGATCCGTCCGGGATGGGGGTGATGCCGTCGGGGTTGGGCCTCGGCTACGACCGCGGCCTGTACAACTCAGGTCACGGCCCAAAGCACGGTATGCGGCGGCAGAAATCCATCGGTGAGGCTGTCTGTTTTTTCTGTCTGCCCCTCCGTTCGCCTGTCTGTCTGTCCTCTGGACCAGTGGAGGTCTACACTGTGCTGACCTGTTTGTCCGTGGCCAACAATGTCTTGTCTCCAGACAAAAACTTCTAACTCTTTGTATCTGTAGCTGACCGTATGTATGTATTCTAACTGTAAAGTAACGTAAACATTTTTTTTGTTTGTTTGTCTTTTACTACTATCTGGTTTATTAGTGCTACTAATCTGTTTTATTCTGATTCATATTTTTTGTGCTTTTTGCTCACTAAAGCTTTGCTAACTCTTCATCTGAAATAGTAAAAAGCTCTTTGGCGACCAACAAAAAAAAATGCTGTGTGATGCTGCCCAGTTGCTTCTTGTTTGTGAAATACAACACATAACACTAACTGACTTACCTACTAACAGACAGGAACTGAGGACAGACCCGCTGGCAGGTAGATGGGCAGTCAGATATAGACCGACACTCTCATAGATTACCTTCAGCTTTCACTTTTTCTGGCTCTGTTTCCTCCACTCTTACACCATCTGTAAGACCTGCAAATCTCGATCTCGTTCTAATTGTTTTTCTCCATTTGTAAATGCTGTGCTCTAGGCGTGCCTGAGGAGGAGAGGCAGTCACTGCATCCTCCAGCCATGAAGTTCGCTCGCAGTCTGTCGGTGCCCGGCCCGGACGACATCCCCCCTCCTCCCACCACAGCTCCACCAGAGCCTCCGTTCTCCTCCGCTCCGCCACTAGGTTGGAGAGCAAAGTCATCCCAGCAGCCCGTCTCAGTGTCCCAGTCCACCTCAACGCCCGCCCACTACCAGCCGTACTCCCAGGCAGCGCATTTCACCCATGGCGGCAGGGAAAGGTCAGGCAGTTCCGGCACGGGCCCCGGTGGTGGAGCGGTGGACCACGCGACCCCTTATGCACACGCCACTGCCCACACTGCTCAAAGCAGAACTGCCTCGCGAAAGGTCGCCTATTCGGGGGAGCCTGGTGGAGCTGGCCCGGGGGCCGGTGGAGGGCGAAGACAGCCGGTCTTCGGAGAGGCTACAGCAACGCCATCCTCCCATCCAGCAGTGCCACTGTAATGCCCCAGCAACAACAGACCACACCGAGTCAACCCCAACGCACAGACCGCAGTGCAGCTGGGCCTGGAGCTGGCGGTCCCCAAAGGAGGGGCCAGGAGAGGCAAGGGACCACTGGTGAAGCAGTCTAAGGTGGAGGACCTACGCATGGCCCCAGGGTACGCTCGGGGGGAAAGGCTCGGTGGAGAAAAGCTCCATCCCCATCCCCACCATTATTGTCAAGGCCCCCTCGACCAGCAGCAGTGGACGCAGCAGCCAGGGTAGCAGTGTGGAGGCCGACGCTCCTGCATCAGGAGAGACGGATGAGGCGAAGACACCACACGGTCCTCCTCCCTCCACCCCCGCTCCACAGCCGCCCGCTCCGCCTTCCATCCCTGCGCCGCCGCCTCCCTACTTGCCTTCTATGCGAGCCCAGGATAATCTGGACTTCACAAGCCAGTTCGGGGCAGCTATCGTCGGTGCTGCTCGCCGGGACAGGGAACGGTTGCACGAAGCTCGCAGAAAGAGCGCCTCCTTGTTTATGTCCGCCGAGGAGGATGTAAGCGTCGGGGTAAGTGACGGAATAACAAGGACTCAAGCGTCACAGCAACAGCTCAGCACACAGGCTGAAAGTTCATCAACACGGCTGCGCCCGTCCAAGTCCATCGACGAGGGCATGTTCTCCGGGGACACTTTTATCCATCACACCCGCAGTATGCCTCCCGCCTTTGGCCTCCCTGAGTACTCCTCGCCTGCCCTGGACTATCAGCCTAAGTCTGTGCCCACTGACTTGTACACAGCGGCAGGCAGGCAGCCGGCGTCCTCCGGTACAACCACCTTCATTCACCCGCTAACAGGGAAGGCCCTTGACCCCACATCGCCACTCGGCCTCGCCCTGGCTGCTAGGGAGCGCGCTCTGAGAGACGACAGCAGGTTAAGGAGGGGAGCAGAACACCACTTCAGCCGCCAGATGTCGAGCGCGGCGTTTCCTTCGTCCACTGTCAACTCTCAGCCGGTGTCGTCGACCGCCCAGTCCTCCAGCTCCTCTTACCTGGTCACCTCGTCCTCTCTGGCCGCTACTACGGCCTCCGTTGGTCGCCCACCATCGCCCCGAATCCTCAGAGGAGTCGGCAGCGTGTGGAGTGAGGAGGGCGGGGGCGGAGACAGGGAGCGCGAAGGAGGAGGGGCTCGCGAGGGGCTTAGAGTTCGCTTCTCCGAGGACAAAACCGTCCACACGCACCACTACCAGTCTCAACCGTATCAGTCGACGTACAAGGAGAGGGAGCGGGAGAGGTCGAGAGAGCGGGACAGATCGAGGGAGCGGGAGGCGTCGCGGGAAAGAGAGAGGGACAAAGAGAGAGAGGATTACATGAGGAGGGCGGAGCAAGCTGCCGAAAGCTCTGTTCAACATGCGTCCCAAACTCATCAGCCTGCAAGACCCTCTTTTCTCAGGATGGAAAATCAAGCGGATGCCTACATCTTGTCCCTCACCCCTCCCTCACCTCCACCAAATGGTTCTCAGCAGACAGCGAACACCACTGGGAGCAGTGGGACTGGTCTGATGGTCCTTCCTCCCCCCGCCCCCTCGATTGATGCCGATGATGAGTTTGTCTACGCAGACCCTCTCCCGCCTCCATTACAGTTTGCCAACAGTTTTGACAGGGGAACGGGGGGATTATCAGGGTACTCACAACACGGGATGCGCCCAAATAGCTTGACCTCCCGCCAACAGCAGGTCCCTCCACCTCCTCCTCCACCACCCCCTCCTCCACCCCCCATTAAAGAAGCAGGTGGGTTTCATGCTCACACACCCTTGCCCTCTCCTCAGGCAGGAGACTCCACCGCCTCCAGCCTCACATCTTACGACAGTGAGGTTGCTAACCTTACCCAATCCGCTCCCTCTCCCTCCCAAACGTCGCCCAACCCCCCGCCCCCTCACTCGCCCTCTACCCTGCACCCCACCTCGTCAACGGGACCTCCGCCTCCCCCGTCGGTCTCCCCGCCACCTCCGCCCGGGTCCTATCACAGGCCCTTCTCCGTGTCCCACCACCTTTACAACAGCTCACATACCCCCGGGCGCTCTTCGCCAACGCCTCCCCCACACACAGTCGCACCTCCCCCGGGATACCGCGGTACCCCGGCACCCACCTCGACCGCTGCCACCTCCGCTCCACACAGGGGCACTTTCTCGCATGCCATGACCGCTAGCTGTGCCGCTACAACCACAACATGCACCTCCACTCAGCTCTACCAAGAGCGCACACACACGGGACACCAACACACACACCACGTCCTCCACCGCCACCACAGGAGGTCGCAGGACAGGGGAGCACCACCCGTCCCTCACCCTGCTGCCAAGAAAGGGAGAGTCCCAGGAGACAGTGGTGGACTCTGGGATCGAAGAGCTGGACAGCCGCAGCAGCAGCGACCACCACCTGGACAGCATCCTGGCCAGTGTCCGGGGAGACAGGCTGGACCGGGGGGAGAGGGGAGGACGGACGGGGGGAGGAGGCGGGACGGGGGAATTGGAAAGGGGAGGGGATTTTCTGGAGTCTTACATGAGCTACCTGGACGGACAAACCTTCGAGATGCAGAATGCCACAGCAGCAGTGTCCACCTACCCAAAGGCTAACAGGTTCAGGGAGGGCGGTCGAACCAGCGATCTCCACAGACAGACCAGCACCGCTCCCGCATCTTTCCACTCCCACAGACGAAGGGACGAGCAGGAAGACGACGAGGAGGGAGCGGATGAAAGCAGTCGCGACGGGTACGGGGGGAGTGACATGCAGAATTTGGGACGTCCGATTTCACCGTACTTTGATCGCCCTCGCACCCCCGAGATCAAGCCTCTCTGGGGCGAGGGGCAAATGGCGGCTGACCAGTCCGCGGCAATTTTAGAGGGGAAAAAGGTTTACCCGCCCGCCTCCAGTATGAAGCCCAGCATCATAAATGAGCTGAACAGCAAACTGCAGCAAAGGACCAAGGACAGCTGGCACAGCCAGAGCCCTCTGGGCAGACACAGGTACGCATCAGTGAACACTGTGTGTTTATGTTTCCAGCATTACAGCATAAACTGCATTATTTGTCTTGTTTTCGATGCACAGCATTGCCATTCTGTTCATGTCTCACATGTGTGTGTTTGCCACCTGTGAGTGTTATCCTTTCCACAGTTGATGTTCAAGCCTTCTGTGCAAACTGCGTACTGTCCTGTGTAGATGTTTTGTCTATACTGTGTAAACTCTCCTCTTCTTTTATTTCTCTGGATTTTTCCATGTGTTTCTCTCAGAGCCAGAAACAGGTAATGGAGCCACTTCTACACTCTTTTCTTCTGTCAGGGAGAACATGAAACTTTTACACTTGATTGAATGTACAACATGCTGTGAGACAGTAAAGAAGCTTGTTCAAAACATGTATTATGTTATCTGATGTACACAATCCTCTCCATTCACAGATTCTCAGAGGATTCGGCCTCAGCTCTGAGTCCTCCTTCAGCTCGATCCCAGTCACCGTCTCCGATTTCGTTATCGCAGCCGTCGTTATCCCCGTCCCCCACCCCTGCCTCCCAGTACCCCAACTGGGGACGATCGCCATCCCCTCAACCCCCAGCTGCGTCTCAGCCTCCTCGTTCTCATTCCCCGATTTCCCCAACGTCTTATGCCCCTTATCCCACTTCTCCGAAACACAGACCTGTCTACCGAACCAAAGCCCTAGAATTCCAGTTCATCCCCAGTCGCGAGTCCCGCAAAGCGGAATCACACATGTTCCAGCGTAGGAGAGCACCCAGTCCCCTCATCTCTCCGTCAGAGCGGCCCAAGCTGGGTCCACCGCGACCATCGTCCCTTCCACTCCTCCCCACCACACCGCTCTACAGTGCGATGTATGACCTGCGGGGTTCAATCACGCCGCCGTCCCCGGGGAACCCTCTTGGAGATCCTTACTTTTCGCCCTCTCCTCCCCTGTTCGCCGCCTCTGGCGCCCCGCCCCCTCCCAACTCGGCCTTAGTTGTCTCTCGATCCCTTTCTCCGACTCACTTCTTGTCCGGGGCCTCGTCTCCGCCGATGCACCCTCACACTCCGCCTACATGCCTGAGTTACCCCCACCTACCGCCACCTTCCCCCACGAAGCCTTTTGCTTCCAAGCCACTGCCCTACTGGACCAAGTACGACGTCGCAGACTGGCTAGGATACCTGAACCTGGGGGAGCACAGGGAGCGTTTCCTGGACAACGAGATTGACGGCACCCATCTGCCCTCCCTCACCAAGGACGACTTTCTGGATCTGGGCGTGACTCGCGTTGGCCACCGAATGAACATAGAACGGGCCCTGCGGACCGTATTGGACAGGTATGGCCGCCATCCTTTTTTATGAATGTATACTATGATTTTTTTTTTAAATAAACTTTTTCGGCACTTTTTTTACATACTTCATTTGAAACACTAAAAATGCTATACAACACTCTTTCCAACCGTTTTTGACATGCAATGCTACAATTTTTTTTTTTACATTTCTTGACTTTTTCTTGTCGGTATAAAAAATACTATTCAGTGACTTTTTGGACATGAATTGCTGATTATTTTTGCCGTGCAAGACTAAGACTTTTTGATGACGTCTTTTTTTAAACAAAATACAATTCCTAAAATTTTGAATAACAAAATACAAAATTACTTTTTTCCTCTAGCTGTTGATGATAATTTAATTAAATACTGTAATATGAATACTTAAACAACAAATAAATTGTTGTTACATCTTCATTACAAACTACACTATGACTTTTTTTACAACAGAGTACAATAATGCTTTTTTCACTTTTTATGATATTTTTGTGAAATTAATATTTTTTGACATACTATATGCTATTTTTTAAGACATAACAATATGTGTTATTACTTCCTATGAAACGACACCTATTTACCAATCACCAATTTTTTAATATATATTGTTTTAAAATAGGCATACATTTTTTTCATGAAACTACTAACAAATGTTTTTAATACCTGTTTATTGTATGGTGCCTTAAACAACAAACGATCATCGTGATTTCACCAAAAAACTGACGCCTGTGCTTCCGTCCTCAGGCTGGCCAGTAGCCCATTTCCCATTTTGGTTCTGTCCCCTCGGGAAGGGCCGACTGAGCGGAGGAGGGATGACGGGAGTCGTAGCTGAGGTTGCAAAAGGCAGAAAAACGGAGAGATGGAGAGTATGTGAGAAAGGGTTGGAGTCAAAGATGGAGGAAGACACAACTGCTACTATCCATAGTGGTTTCACGCAACAAATATTGCGTGAAATATTTGTTGCGTCAGAGAGAGGGAGTTAAGGCCCAAAGGGAGATGGAGACACAGGGATGGAAAAATGGGCTGAGGATCCATAACGACTCCAGCTGTGGCAGGCTGATAGAAACAAGTACGTTCCCCTACATGCATGCACCGTCACACCAATCAGCAGACAAGTCACGCAAACACACACCTCCACCTAAAATCTGCGTGAAGACACTGTGGCTGCAACAGATATTCCAAGTGAGGAACAGTGATGAAATCGAGCCAAATACTAAAGCGAGGCAATCACAAGCCACGTCGCTTCAAAGATAAAGGTGTCACTCGTCACGCCGCCATCTTGTTGACTACTCCTCTCACCCATCAGCTGGCTGGTTTAATCTGTTTAAGCCACCGACGATACTTTGGTCAGTGAAAACTCGAATGTTACGTGTCTGAATATTACTGCGGATAAGATGAGAGCGAACTTTGGTGAATGGGTGCAACGCTTTCTCTGTCTGGACGGCGGACGCGTAGGACGGCACAAGGCAGAAACGTCGTGGCGGCTTCCCCGTCTGTCACCGGAGGGGGCGTCGGCGCAGACGGATGACTCTGCCTGGCTCTTCTTGTTCAGCTCCCACGGGTTACGTCTGCTTTTACCCCCCCGTAGGGCTCTGTCTTCACCGCAGGTCCTGTGATCAGGATTGTTTGTGTTCCTTTCTAGCTCTTTATCATCTTAAGTCTTATAATGACATACACATATACGTATGTATATATACACACGTATATATGTATGTATATATGCAGACTGGTCACTGTATCACAAATTTGTAGCAAAAATAAGTGCCCAGACCGACTGAATAATAAAAAAGAAGAAAAAAAAAGAATCAGTTACACTCACAGACACCTGAGTTACGACTTTACCTGCCTGCATGCACACACCAACATGTAGACACACACACACACACACACACACACAGAAAAGCACTTGCAAGTGATTGCGTTAAGAGTTAATGGGACACGTATATAGACACACTCTATGTTTGGAGCTAAAATACACTTATACAAAAGGTGACATACTGTGCTTTCGCTTGTGAGACGGCTCATGTGACCATGTGAAGAGGAACCCTCCCCCCTCCCGGGGGGGAAAGACTTCCTCACGTCAAGACAAGTCCACAAAGACCTTCCGTCCGAGGGAGACCAGAAAGGACAGGGGAAGGGAAGAAGAAAAACTGCCATTTTCTTGCCCCCCCCCCACCCCTCGCCCCACCTTCACTCTCTCTGAACAAAACCCCCGAGGAAACAAGCAGCCACCGGTCCCCGAGGGGATTGGAGAAAAATGCTTATATCAAGTTTTAATACTATGATTCTTCTTACGATTTTTAAACTTTAAAATGGGAAATGGATTACTAATATTGATATGAAGAGATTTATTGTTACTGTTTATCATGACTTTCATCGTCCTTACTGTTATTATAACTTCCTGCCTCCTGCCTTCGGATACTGAGGTGTCGCTGTCGTGCAATCGGGTGTTTTCTAACTGTGATGGACATAACTGCTGGTTATATAAAGAAATGTGTTGGTATACATATATATATATATATATAGGTATTTTTGAACTGAAAGATGAATATTATTTAGTGCACAGAACCCTCAACATTGTCTCTCTGTGTCCAGAAGCATTGCAGCTTCCTATGAAGCACATTTCAGAAACAAACTGCTTTATTCATGGCCTCAAACGATTTCCTCTCTGTTTAAAAGTGATTTGTCACTTTATATCATGCAGATACTCAACGTGTAGCAGCTGGGAAGAGAAAACAATGTATTCATTTATTCAAGCAGTGATAAATGTATTGGATGCCCCCCCCCCCCCCCCCCTACCTCCCTTTAATTGATCACATAAAAACAATCACATAAATGACTCCTTTTCCACATCTTAACGTGTCGTATGCACATTCACACCTCATTAGAAATGATTATATTCTCACATCATTGATCAAATATAAGGGCTCTCCCACCTTTAACACTTCTCCTGCTGCTTTGGAGTCCTCCAACACATCGTGTGTCAGATTGGTTTACTCTCAGATCACGTGCTCACAGGCGCGTGAATGAGTGAAGGTGGAGAAATGTGTCAGAGATGTTTGAATGCAAAGGAAATAGCAACAAGGACGATGAAAACAATGGTTACCGAATGGTTTAAGATGTTTAAAAAAAGTTCTAAACAATCTCTGTCTTCCAAAGGTTTAACACGAAAAGGTACGATGTATATTTGTTTATCTGCTGTGCTTTCTATACAGTTTGACCGTTTCTCCCCATCTTGTCCCTTCCACCGTCAAGACACCCGACAGCATCAACGTTGTGCTTCTCATTTTCATGTTGTTGGTACAAAGCACCTCCTGTTCATAACAGTATTATGCAAAGGCCCTTTTCACATTAGCAACCGTGGCTTTTCACATTTCCCTTTAATGGTTTTGAAACAAATGTTCAGCCGAAGGGCGAGTTTCTGAAGGGCGGACAAGCAGGATGTGGCTTCCTTCATCGCACGGCCAAATTCTACTCGTGTCCTTCAGGTCTCTAAAGGTCTGCTAGTGAGTACGGTGAAATAGTAAACGTACAGAAAGCACCAACAGCACGACTTGTTTTAATTCATTTAGACGTTCGACATGGTGGCTGTGAATCGGTCAGACTCTATAGAAAACACTTTTCCTTTTGATCTTGAAAAAGAAATTAATTGATGAAAGCTAATTTACAGAATATATGTATATGTGAAAGGCATATACACGTTCATATAGACCTATATGAAAACAAATGTTTTAAGAGATATACATTGTTAGAATTATAATAAAGATACAGAATTAAAAGTTGTGATTTGTGATTTCTGGAATGAAACCAGTTTCTTTTGCATCCGGTTAAACGTAATGTGTTCACTTGGTGAATTTATTTTTTACACTAAATTACATTTCTGTGGGAGGTTCTAACTGCTTAGTTTAAACTGATTATCAGAGCAACATATTCATAAACCATGTAGTCAATTCATGTCAGTAATACCTTTCCAAAATAGTTAGATTTTCTATGACAGCATCTTCAAATATTTGGGGTAAAGAAAAAAAAAAAGCCCGGAATTTAATGAATCAGATTTATTTCCTCAGAGCAAATACAGGACAGTATTAAACTTCACATTTTAACAAGCCAAACATTTCCATGGTATAAGATGGTTTTCAGGGTGACGGTACCTGAAACAGCAGAGGAGACAAAGTCAGAACAATGCTACATAGTTAAAGGAAAAGGGGCTTTCAGCAGAAGTCTCCTCAGAGTCGCCTTGTCAGGGGCCGACCTGCACTTTTATCACCACTGATATTCTGAGCCCAGTGCTAAACATCCCAGGAGATCCCCACGCGGCGTGGCGAGAGAAGTACAACGTCATGACAAACCTGGTTTAAAGTCCGGTTTATATCGCGTGACGTCACTGCGTCGGATAACTGAAAGGGAAGAAAGAAGCAAAGTTAGGGAGTTATCCACTTTCAGCACTTTTGACCGGCATCGGTTCGTTTTCTCCTCAGAAACTTTGGCTTGTCAGGGCCAAAGATGCACGTTTCTCCTCAAAAGACTCAGAGCCCAGTGCAAGTCATCAGGGGAGAGAGAGACGTCCTCCTTCAATGTGGACCGTACGCTGAATACACATGGTGGTAGCATTAGCTCCCATGCTAACCTGGTGGTTGTTGTAGACCACGTGGCGGAAGGCCCACGAGCCAGAGGTCTCGGGGACTTTAATATTAAAAGAAAGCAAACGTTAAGAAGGGTCGAGAATAAAAAGGCCCAATTCAGATAACGTTACGTGCCAGTTAGAAAACCGACATTATTAAGCAGAAGACCCGGACGCTGCAGGTCGCGGCCACGTGCCGTTTGGGAAAAAACAAGAGGAGCCGACGTAAAGCCTACCTGTAATTTACGCTGATAAAACACGGGATTAAGAGAACATAACGCGGGAACTTCCGTTAAAATGATTAAACAGAGGGGATTTAACGCGGTGTTATTCTGGTATGAAACCAAACGCAGCGGCGAATGCTCGTTATAACGTGCGGAAATGGTGACGTAGGCAATTGCAACACTAATATAAACATGTTTGTATAAAGCTTTTTTTTTTTAACACCACAGAACTTCACATCAGTGAAATCCTGCAGGTCTACTCACCATTAAAACCAGGGGCATCACAGAGGAGGGAGACCACCTAATGTAATGACTCCACATCCGCTCCATCGAGATTTAAACGCAGATTTTCTTCTGTCTTTATATTCGCAGTCAAGAGGCGCCATTAAGGAGCATCAGCGCCGCCTAGTGGCCGGAGGGAACCGCCAGGAAAAACAATGAATGACAGATCTCAAAGAAAATTTCTCCTTTAACCTTTAATCATCGTATTAAGTGCAATGTTAATAATAAAGACTTAACTGGCCACACGCTTTGAGAGGAATCGGAATAAAAGTGTTTATTGCGTTTGAGGAATGTGGATTTAAGGACCGTGAAAACAATGTAAGGCAGAGATACTATGAAACGAATGTTGACACTGTCAGAATCAAATTTAGGTAAAATATGAGATAATTGTTTAATTATTTTAGAGTGACTTTAACACAAATTTAATTATTCATATTCACTTTCTAATAGTCGTGAGTATTATTCCCTCTAGTGGCTGTAGTGAGAAACGGCATCTGGACTCAAGCAACAAAACATACTAGTAAACGCAGCAGCGAAGGCTCGTTATAACGTGCGGAAACGTGTGGTGACGTCAGCAGTTGCAACACAAACCTAAACATGTTTGTATAAAACAATTAAAAAAAATACAAAACTTCACATCAGTGAAATTCTGCAGATCTACTTACCAGTACAGCCAGCGACGTATATACATATATATCATTATGTATGTATATACAAATAAAATTGGAGTTATACACTGTGACCAGAAGTGGCATAGTTCTGTTCTGTTCAAAACTTCACAATAAAAGTTGCAGTACAGTGACACAAATGACAAAAGGATAAACGTTAATGGACTTGACGACTTGTTCGATGTTTTAAAATATCTATAACTGTGTGTCACATTAAAATAAACCAGATAAAGTGCAATGGTCACAACAATTGTAGCCTAATTAACACAATTTTTATTTGCACCCAATACGATATAAATAACAAATGGCTTAAGTGTAAATCATGATTTTGGTGGAAGCGGAATAATGATTTAGTAATTCATTTACATCAGTACAAACAAAGTTAAACAAAGTAAACACGTCAGTAAAACATGAAGTATTCAGGAATCACTAAAATATTACTTTAACTTAAATCTTTTTTACACTTTGCCACTGCATGTTGAATCTATGCTGTGTAAACATTATCTAACCTCAACTTTATTCACGTTGTTGTCATTTTCTGCATCTTGCGGCTGACCAATATTTAATCAGAGAATCTGCATTGTTGTCATGACATCTGTCTACTCTCCATCCAGATGTGGTTACACAGTAATGATGTCTCCTAACAGCAGGGTGCAGCAGGGCGTTAACAGTTGCCCCGTTATTGTCATCGCAAGTCCTGGCAAAGTTTTACAAGCTCAGCGCGGCGGGCAGCAGGAGCGGCACATGTGAGAGTGAACAATTCTTCTTCTGAGGTCTCTGACTTCAAAGAATCCCACAAAACACACACACACACACACACACACACCGGATGTGTCCTCCAGCTGTGGAGGGAGGTTTCTTGCTGAACTATCCCAGAGGAGCGTTGGGGGGGAGCGAGAGAGGGGGCATCGAGACAACTACACGGATGAGTTTTCCTTATCTGGTCATGCTTCTTCGTGCCTCTTTGTGAAATAGGAAAACAGCTAATCGCTCAATTGAGACACACACACAAACGCACACTCACGCGGGCTGTGAGTGGTGACCAGGCTATTGTCTGACTCATACAAACACAGACACACACACTCCTCTGAGGGAGGTGAAGACAGCGAATGAAGGAGGAAAAAAAGAGACAATCTTCAACAAGTGGTCGAGTACAAAGGACAAAAGTGTCCTGCAGCTGTTTTGGAGAGACAGGGTGAGGGAGCGCGGGAGGGAGGGGGGGAGGGAGGGAGGAAGGGGTGCGGGTGGGAGGGAGAAGAAGGAGGGAAGGAAAAGAAAAAACGAAGCCAACTCATCTGACACTAGACAGTGGGCCAAAGAAAAGGGAAGAGCCGTCCAGGAGGAGTGGAAAGTCAAAGCTGGAGAGGACGAGGAGACGTTTAGAGAAGACGAGACGGAGGGAGAACAGGAGCCTCGGCGTCTGCACAGAGACTGACCTGGAAAAAAAAAATCTAAGCAGCCCAGCAAAAGAATAAAAGGGAGTTTGAAGCGGAGGGGGCCCCAACATTTACAGAGGTAAGCAGCTTTGAGCGGAGGGGGAGTTCTAATGGAGGGATCGAGCTCCTATTTCTGCTCTGTGTGTTCATTTGTGACTATATATTTCCTCCGTGCAATGTGTGTGTGTGCGAGTTATGTGTGACAGATGAAACGGGGACAGGGGGAGGAGTGAGAGCGGGGGCCCGGCTGGGTGCAGGATGCAGGGGTGAAAGAGTTGGTGGGTTGGAAACTCCAGATGGGATCTTATAACCTTCAGCTTCAGGCAGCTCTGTTTAGTTTTAGATACTGGGAGGAAACGTTTCTTCTCTCTGACCTGCCAGGAGTTTGCATGAGGTCTGGAGGGCCGGTGGTGGGATTAGATGTGTGCTGGTAGGTGGTCCTTTCTGCACTATTAGAGGGCCGTATGTGCAGCTAACGTAATGTGTTTCTTCTTTAATTGATTTATACGTTACTTTAAAGATCTTCAGGATGCAGAGGCCCAGGCTTTCTGGAGGATGTTTAACGTTATGAGATCATTTCCAGAAGACCTGTGGTGCCATCGGACTTGCATGGGATGCTTTTTCTCTCGCACAGACAGCGTGTGCAGGGTATCAAGTCATATTTGAGAGGCAAGTCGATGGACTTAGAGGTTAACTCGCTCTCACACGCGGTTGGGATCAAATTCCCACGGGCTCTTTGCTCGGGTCATGAGATCTCATGGTGACTACTTAGTCAAACTCGCAGGAATGCGTCGCATTATTTGATATCAGGGAAGGGACAGCGGAGCTCCCCCCCCCCCCCCCCCCCGCCCCCCACTTTCCACTGGAAACTGAAACACAGCCCCCCCACCCCCCGAGGAGAGCGAGGGGACAGGAAGTCCAGGTCAAGGGTCAAGAGGGAGGCCATTCATTATTTTTCTGACCTCCGGCGGACCGCTGGGTTGTGTAATGTACGAGAACTCGGGCGGCAAAGTAACACGACAGCAAGCGGAGGGAAGATGGAGGCGGGAGGGAGGCGGTGGGTGGAGGCGGGAGGGGGAGCCGCGGCGTGGTGCTGTTCTTGGAGCATGTGATGCCCCGTGAACGGCAGGAGGCAGAAGGAAATCATGGAATCTAATTGTGCGCCTGGCGGAGCCACGAGGGGACAAACCGCTACGTGCTTGAATATTTAGACTCTTTTTTAAAAGGGGAACGACGGCGAACGCAGAGTCATCGGAGACAGAACCTTTCGCTTGATTACTTCCTAAATGAGTGCGAATTATAGGATGGGACGGGATCCCCCCCCCCGCCTCCGCCTCCGCCCCCCCCCCATATTTATTCTTGGACAGCTCGTGTTTCAAAGCCGGATTGCTGGGAGAAGATTCATTCTCGGTGATGTTGTTACGCCTCGATTTACTGTACACGTCAACTTGCAGCAGCTGCTGCGACTCCTTCGTGGGTCGACAGAGAGCCTCCAGTACATGACGGGACATTTATTTGAGGGCCTATTTAATGCTCTGCCATTAAAACCGTGATTCACAACCAGTAGTACTGAAAGAGATGTTCCTGAGGTTGTACCCCTAAATGTAATTGATTTTTCATTAATAATGAAACGTCCTTTACAAAATGACAAAAGCATGTCATAGTTGACGCAAAGCCTCACAAACTGAATGAACCACACAGACGGATGTGATAGGAGAGCGGCGCCACACTCTGAACTAATAATGTGCTCTTCTCTCTCTCAGAGAGCAGGATGTCGACGCCGTCATCGCAGAGCAGCATCGAGGACGCCAACAATCACAGCTTCTGGATGGTGAGGCCGTGTGTGACGTCTGTGTGGAGACAAAGGTCGCGCGGGCCTCCGTGACCTTCCCTTTCCAACCAGACGCAACGGTTTTGTCGCTTTGTGCTGTGCTTTTATTTTTTAATTGTGGGTAGTTTGGGGAAAGCGCTCAGCTCATGGGATCCTTTGTGTTTGTAGACCGTAAAGTGTCACAATCCTTCAATTTTCACTACTTTTATTCATCCAAAGTGAGTTTGAGTTGTGCTGGTGTGCTTATCTTCGGATAGAACCAGATGTTTTCAGTCTCTGCTAAGATAACTGCCGGAAGCTTCATATTTATGTCAAAAGACAAAAGAGTAAAATTCCTCTTTTCATCCTCGCAGGCAATAACATTATTTCTTAAATAATGTTGCATAAAATAGGAATAAGCAACACAACTGAACTTTTCTCACAGAACATAAAGGAACACTAGGAATAAGTATGTAATTGGGATATGGTTTACAAAGCTGTGTTTGCACAGAAGTGCATGCAAACGTCGTCCAACTACATTTAATTGAGAAGAATTTCACATTATACGTCACATGATGAATTACACTCATAGTTAAACTTTTTCATACTTTTATTTGAACAAAAGCGTTGAGAAACTGCTGTGCACTCTGTTTACCAGACACAGCTCTACTCGTGCACCATGTTTTTAAAGCCGTAAACACTTCCAACATCCAAAGTGCCCGACGGTCTAATTTGAGTGTGCTACCGCTTTATTACCGGCTTTGTCTGCTCTCGGCCTCCATGCGCTGCCCCACTGCCATCTCTCCCCTCCTGTAATTTTGCCGGCCTCCTGTTCCTGCAGACCTGCTTCAGGGCTGTCTGTCATTACACCGCACGGCTCTTTCGTTTCGGTTTTGCAGAGTCGCCGCTTTAAGATTCCTGCAGCTGCAGAAGTGTACCATACTGCTAGATGCACGCAGCGGACGAGGCCCACGGAGACTCTTTCTATGACGGGCCTTTCTGAATATATCCTGTGGCTCGTGTACAAAGGAGACGACAATGCTGCTTTTGAAATGTGCACCAGGCTGCAGGACCGATTACCGCTTACCTCTTCTATTCGACTCCCAACAATACGACTGCAGCGACCACTACTGCTGTGGCTATTTCTTTGGATGCCTCGTTTCAGTGCGCGGGCGGATCCTCTGGTAGCGGAGTTGCATGTGGCTCAGAGATTGGCCAAGTGGGCCTCTGCAGCGTTACCGGCGGCCTCAAACCGGATTCCTCAGCTGTTTCTGTTTAACTCTCAGACGAGTGAGGAGAGTCGGTGCAAACCCCACCGGGCAGATAGAAAGAAAGACCGGAGAGAGGCAGAGAAAACTAGCAGGCCGGTAATGAAAAGTGCTTTGATTGATTTGGATTATTGCGAAAGGAAACTATTTTTTCATTAAAAGCATTAACTTTTCATGACGCTTAAGGCTGCTAGTACAAACATAAATCACTTTTACAGTCGCTGAGACCCATTTTGTTATATAAATATATATATATATACATTCTAACTAAATATTTTAAACTAACAAATTAAAGAACGGAAAGAGAGGGTTTTCATATATATATATATATATATATATATAGATGAGTAGTACGCAGACAGTGTTAGCTTCTATTATAAGAGAAAAATACACCTGTTTGACAATTATTTGCATGTTGGCTCAGATGATTTGCTAAAACATCACAACATACGCTATAAGGTTCCAGGAACCTTCCAGCAGCTGTCTAAAAGTGTCAGTAACAGATCGAGTCTGACACAAAGTGAAAAAGAGCGTAGGAGTGAGTGCTGAGTAGGAGCTCGCGGCGGCTGCCAGGAAAATTGGAGAGAGATTTCCAAATACCACAGACACAGACAACACATTTGCTCCAGATATGTTATTACGCTCGGGGCCTTCTTGTCCTCCCCCCCGTCTGGTTCTAATGGTCAGACCTCGCCCTCGTGCCCTCTGACCCGCTAGATGTCACCACAGGAAACCTAATGCCAGCACAGTGTCACTTGTGGCACGTGGCGCTCGACCGTAGACGGCTGCGGCCGTGTGACAGTGCGTGACAGCGGGAGGACACGTGAGCTGGACGTTGTTGTGACTGACTGACAGGAGAAATATTGACCGTTCACTGTCACACTGGGGTATCTAATCACATTAATAATGGCCGCATACCATTTAGCTGTGCCGGTTCAAAGGTTTGTGCACGCTGGCTGATTGGCAGCGTGATTGAGAGACCTAAATGGAAAGGAGCAATGATTGAAGAGAACATTCTCACTTGTGAGAGTAAATTAATTATCGTCTATCTAATCTAATACATACAGTTGAATTACTGGAGGGAGCAGTATAGCTGCTAATAGCCCACTACTACTAATAAAATACTAATAATAGCAGGACAGGTTGTGGCAGATGTGAATGTAGTAGCAGTGGATATATGATGTAGTTTCTATCATTAACAGACGCAACAATAGTAGTAACCTTGTAAGAGTGTAAGAGCCGACTTTAAATCCATTACCGACTCAGGGTTCAAAAACACAAAGTCTGTTGATCCTCTTGTTTATTCGTGTGAACAGTAGATCTCCCTCTCTGCTTGTGTCCCGGCAGCCTGGGAACTATCATCCCACTGTGAAGCGAACAGAAGACGCCTTCCAGGCCTGCAATGACATCGTGGCGTGCTTCCAGGAGAGAGCGCGCGTGGAGCGGCAGTACGCACAGCAGCTCAGCGAGTGGAGCAACAAGTGGACGCCGGTGGTGGACTCCAGTAGGTTCTGCCGCTGCATCTCGCCCACGACTGCTCACGATCTCCTTTTCGTTGACGAGACATGCGAACGCGTGGTCCCCTCAGGTCCCCTGTACGGATCCCTTCTGAAGGCTTGGCAGTGTTTCATGTCCTCGGCCGACCGGCTAGCCTCCCTGCACGCCTCCATCTGCCGCTCCCTCGTGTCGGAGGACGGCGACAGGGTCAGGACCTGGCAGAAGGACACCTTCCACAAGAAGCTGTTTGGAGGCTTCAAGGAGTCCCAGGACATTGAGACGGGCTTCACCCGTGCTCAGAAGCCGTGGGCCAAACGGCTTAAAAAGGTCTGAGGAGAATGGCCTTGCTTAGTAACACAACGAGGTATTTTCGGTTTAAACGGCCCTGACAGGTTGGATTGCTCTTGAACAATTCTTCCTGCCTTCTTGTTCCTCGGCAGCTGGACAAAGCCAGGAGGGCGTACCACAAGGTGAGCCGCAAGGAGCAGGCGGCCAGGGAGCGAGAGGTCCACGCTCACGGAAACCCGGACGTCTCCATCGACAAGCAGAAGAGGTTGCAGGAGGAGAGGGAGCTGGCTCAGCAGGAGGCGGAGAAGGTGAGCGGCATGTTTCATCTCCTTCTCAACGTCTGTCCGTCGCTTGGTCTCCATTGGTTCCACATGATTAAAGGCACTCGGTGGAGTCTTTGACCACTAGTTGTGCTACCAAGTAGCGTATTTGTGAGTGGCTGTAGCTTAAGACATTGCAGCACAGTTTCACACAGTCTGTTTCAGGATATTTGATGCAGAACCAAATTAAAACAAGAAAAAACAAAACACCAAGTGTTCAACAAATCTGTGGGGCAAGTTGCAAGTGTACAACGCCAACACATTTTCCTGGCAACTGGGCCGGCAAACAGGTCGACAGTCGTTGGCGCCAAAGACCTTAAGATGTCGACAAAAGCCAAAGAAGAAAAAGCTGGATTTTTCTTTGTTTTTCACATTTAACCTTTGGTAAACCAGTTTAACCTTTGTCCCTGCTGATACCTTTGTGCGAGCGTCCATCAATGTGTGTACCTAATGAGACCCTGCGTCCGGATGTTCAGGTGCGTGGCCGTTATGAAAAAGTCCTGGAGGAGGTGAACCGCTACGCGCCGCGCTACATGGAGGAGATGGAGTCCATCTTTGACCAGTCGCAGGACGAGGAGCGAAAGAGGATCGTCTTCCTCAAACAGGCCTTTCTCTCCGTCCACAAACACCTGGATATCACCAACAACGAGACGTGAGCGAGGCTTTGTGTGTGTGTGTGTGTGTTGTAAGGTTGCTGTAGTCACAGATTAGATTAAGGTCATTGTGTGTTGGTGCAACAGGGCAGACAAGCATCCAAAAGTCTGTAATTGAATTTGTTTAGTGTGCGTGCCGTGTACAACGAGCTCCACAACACGGTGACGGCCATCGATGAGCACGAGGACCTCCGCTGGTGGAAAAACACCCACGGGCCCGGCATGCCCACCGACTGGCCTCACTTCCAGGTACTTCAGTCTTTTCGTTGGTTGGTTCGAGGTTAAATCAAAAGTCCTAACGTGGTTTTGTTTTGGTCTGAAGTTACATTTTTGTAATTGTTTAAAAAAAAAAAAATGTTTTTAAGGAGTGGATGCCCGAAAAGAAAAACAAAAAAGAGAAGAAAGAAGTCGAAAAGAAAGCAACAATAGAAAGAAGGTGCGTATTTGTTATTCATTGAAGGTTGGATTCATTGAACTGTTGTGATACTGTGTGGCTGAACAGACATTCATCAGATTTTTGTCTTTCTGTCCCTTCTTTTCCTCTAGTGTGATTATTGGAGGAGTGAGAGTAAGAGCTATGTATGATTATGTTGGCCAGGAGACGGATGAGCTCTCTTTTAAAGCAGGTAAACGCACAAATAACATCCTGCAAAACCTGCTGAACTACACTCATTAAAACCGTGTACGCAGAAGTGATTTTTTTTGTTGGAAATGATCCGTATTGCCAAAATGATATTTCAATATATCTGATATTTTTTGGCTTTTCAATTGTGTTTTTTGGAGACGGAATGATTCGTTGATTCATCAAGTAGTCGATCTGAAGAAAACGTAATAATGAGTCATTTTTCAGGACAGCCTCAATTAGAAAAACAAGGCGGTTTACCTGAATGAGCATTACCTGTTGCAACCGTAAATCAAGGTAAAAATATGCAACCGAAAAAGAGAATATTAGGAACCTGTTTAAGTAATGAAAACAACAATTGACAAGACGTCAACATTTACCGGGAACTGAAATGCTCCTTTTTTTAAATTTAAACCAAACAATTATTTGATTCAAATATAAAAATTGCTAGTTGCAATCCTAATTTCTTTGTTTTTATTCATGTCTCCCTTCAGGTGAGGAGTTTTTGAAGATAGAGGAAGAGGATGATCAGGGCTGGTGTCGGGGGATGAAGGACGACGGGTGCGAGGGGCTTTACCCAGCCAACTATGTGGAGGCGGTGTAGATAGTGCATCTAGTATACGGAACATGACAGTTCTTGCTGCAACACATACTGTGTAAATTGCAACCTGGTTTAACTAAATGCAAGAAACATAAAATCATTGCTGTACAGAGAAACACCAAGTAGCGGTTAGCCAAACATCTGGTCTGTTATGAGGGTAAGATCCCACTTAGGAGAATATTTTATCATGCAGACATTTTAAAAAAACTATCCAGGTTCTCTTGAAGGATTTTGATAAATGTTTTAATATATACAGTATGCATAGACCACTTGTACTAAAGCCATATAATAAACAATGCTTTAATGCGCTCTTAAGAAATATAACTAGGCGTTTGGTGCTGACGTTGCATTACAGGACTGCTGTTTTCCTTGAGCTGTTTTTATTTCTTTCCACCTCAACGCATAACGCTTAAAATGCTCACAAAGCCTCTCAACCTCTGAAGAATGTAAATGGAATAATGTGATTCTAATTAATCCACTTCAGCCAACCACTAGTGGAGTTAGCTTGATGGTACATTTTTGTATCATGGTTTCATAAAGGGGCCGGAAGCGAAGCACCAACATCTTGTGTTATTAAACGTATGTGAAAAGGTGAAACAATGTTTGCTTCTTTTACCTTTTTTGTTGTACCTGTCTTTGTACTAAACCAGCTCACGTTATCTACTAACACCTTAATAAACAGCCCAGGTCTGATATCTCTGCAGAGAGGGTTTAGAGACATTTCCTCATCTTTGACATCAAACATATTTCTGAGCATGTCGGACTGTTTCATTTTGATTGTCCGTAATTCTCCGTCTGTGAGCATCTGTTTATCCTGAAGTGTGTGTGACGCTCGCCATGGTGGTTAAGAAAGTAAGGAAACTGCTGGTTCGCCGTCCCCTCGTGCTGTTTCCTTCCAGTGTCTCTGTGTGGGCTTTGTAAAAACGCTGCATTTTCAACGGTGTCTTTTGGAAATAAAATGTAAAACTGTTAAACCATCAAATGTCACGGTGTGGTTTATTTCCTGTCTTATTTTGTAGTTTCGGCTTCTTGTCTCCCCGGGTAACTTCACTTCCTGCCTGGTCCTGTCATCCCCTGTGATTGTCTGAATGTTTCCACCCGTGTTCAATCACCTGCACCTTCCTAGTGTATTCAAGCAGTGTGTGTCTCCTGTGTCACTTGTCGCGTCATTGTCGAATGTCCTGGATGTTTCTAGTTTCTGCCTGTCTTTTTTCCCCCCGGTTCCTGTGTGCGTTTTTGCCCCTTGGCCTTTTGCTTTTGAACATTTGGACTATTAAAGTCTTCTTTTGTTGCTCGAAGTCTGCGTGTGAGTCCTGCCTTCCCCGCATCCCTGACATCAAAGGCGCTCCTCGTGAGTTTAAGAAGGGAAGAAATATGTGTGTGTGCGTGTGTGGGATTGTGTGTGTGTGTGACATATCGTTGTAATACATGAGCATGTTTGAGTTTGTGAATCACTATGAAATCATCCTCTCGAGTGCTGAAGTCCGGCCTGTGGATGTTTAGAGCTGTCACACACACACGCACACACACGCACGCACACACACGCACGGTTAAACCTTGTGTCTGTGTCAGGAGAACTGTGTCCAGGTCAAACGCTGCTCTTTATCTCGATGAGGTCATCATGGAGTCAGCGAGATAGGCCATCAGCCAAGCAAACACACACACACACACACACACACACACACACACACACAAACAAACACAAACCACTGTGCATGTTTGAGATAACCGATAGCAAAATGTGCTAAATGTGATAAATCTTGGTATGTTGTTACCTCTAAACAAACACACACACACACGCACACATGAGTATTGCAGCAGAGTATGACAGGAATGTCTGTTTCCACAGGAGCGATGGAAATAACGATGTCTACCTGGAAGGAATGTCCTCACCTGATGATGGATTTCTTGCTTGCAGCAGATGTGATCTTTGTTCACAGAAGCTGACGTCCTTCTGTGTGCCGCCCGTACCGCGCCGGTGCCGTGTTGAACACTTTACTAATCCAGTTAGAAATAGCAGAACGATATAAAAATACTCCACTATGAGTTAAGTTCTGCAATTGAAATGGTACTCTAGCCTCCAATTAGTGATTTTCTCAATGTGGCGCAATAGAAAAAGAGACAGTGTCAGTTTTAATCTGCAAATATACGCTCATTCTTTGCAAAAACTGACGGGTGAATGGTGGGTATTTTTACTGAGAACCCGAGTAGCACAGCTGCTGCCGGCCTGCAATAGAACCGATGATTCATACATCCACATGAGAAAACCTTTCCACGTTGTGCCATTTCTGTTTGCATTTGTCACTTTTATTACAGAAAAATGAAATAAAAGATATCATCATCAATCATCATTTAGAAGTTTAGTATCCACTTTATGAAATAAAAGACGCAGACACTGACAGACACTGCTGTTTGTGCATTTCCCAGGTGCTCCACTGTTTTTTCCTTTCAGGAGGCGAGGAAAGAACAGGCGGGTTCCTTATTTAATTTCAATTTAAATGAAAATTTGATTTAAATTGTAAATGCATAAATTGAACATGTCACTTCTCCTGCACTGTGTCATTTGTCTTGTGGTCCATTGTCTCGTAGTCTGACTTTCCAATGTTGTGCACCAACCACCATCTCACATTCCTTGTATGTCCAACATACTTTGGCAATAAATGTTCCTGATTCCCGATTCGGCCCCAAACTATCCGTCAAAGAGAAGATCACCAATGACTAAACCCTTCGTAAACAATACGCTCCAGCGAGAGGACTGGCACAAAGGCCACAGGCAGCGGCAGACTGGCAAGTAGTGAAAGAGAGTCTCTTTGTCACCCTTCATCTTGTTCCCTGCGAGCTGACAAGTTGATCTCTGGGGACAAAGACAAAGCGAGTCGGTGACCTGAGAGCTTGTCTTCCTCGGCGCTCCGTCACGGAGTACGACGTGTAATGTCCACCGAACCCTTGGAAGAATTAGGCTACTACCTGGAAGACACGCCGCCAATACTGAGCGGTCATCTTCTGAGGAGAATCGATCAGCAGTTCAGTCAGACAGGAGTTCAGTCTGTTCGTGATGAAAGTGGTGGACGCGCTGCTTCACCCGCGGCCCGCTGTCCACGCGACACAGAGGCTTGTGACTGGCAGTGCAGACGTTTGATCAGCGTCCAGTTACAAAAATGTATTTTTGTGACACGTCAGAGGAAGAGTTGCTGGGGAGCGAGTTGTTTTTATACTTCCGTTGTTTTACGAGGGAACAAAGAAAGGATAAAAGCAACACAGAGAGAAGGAGACTATTACAGTTCCCTCAAGTTATAATAACTCATTTATTATCAACATCTCATTTATCTGGAGATTCTCCCCTTTGAACTTGGCCTCATTTGTACATAAGTCTTACTCATTGGTAATGAGCCGAAGAATTAGCTCGGGTTCTGCTTTGCAACGCGGCTTAGTGCACAAGACAACCAGCTTATAATCGTCCAGCGGGGGGAGCTACAAGACCAGCAGGGGAACCCTCCATGTCTTGAGGTGGTGGGGGGCAGCGTAATGAGAAAATGTCTTTATTCCCTCATCTCTCATGTGGTGACGGGCAGAACTTTAGGTTGCCATGGAGAGAGCTGAAATGGGGACATAATTAACACAGCCACAGAGCTCGGTTCAATGACACATTTCGTCTGGAGAAGTTAATGAGGAAATCACAAAGCTCCTCGAAGGCAAACGACTGTGCGTGCGCCACGTGTAAATATGACAGATGTTTGAAGTCACGTCACGAGGTGGATGCCGCGGTTTTCCCTGCGGGGGCCAACGAGGAGCATGTGGTCTGTGCGGCCGTGTCGACGACTGGATGGGTGTGAACACGGGAGTGTGCGTGTGCTCGGCTGTGTGTTTGATTCTGTTGAGGGAATGACTAACCTCCTTGTCAGAGACGCAAACCGTGTGGACGTTTTCTCAGTTGTCACACACACACACACACACACACACACACACACACACACACACAGCTCATTGCCCCCGGTGTACTTTGGCTTCTCTCTCTCTCTCTTTCCCTTTGCTCGCTGTAAGCTTAAAGGAGCCTTCTGTTGCCCGTGAGGGCCCACTGAGTTTCTTCTCGGGGGGGACAACAGAGTAGCACAGGGGGGGGAAGCCGCCCCGACCACCTGTAGCCCTGCCGAGAGCACCGACGCACAAACCGTTTTGAATGCCAAAAGTTGCGAGGAGTCGCAGAAGCAGAGCGGCCTGTACTTTGAAACTAGGCCTTTGAGCGCGCTTCTCATTGTAAACTGCTCGAAAAAAAGAAAAAAAAGAAAAAGAGGTTATTCTAGCATTTCAATTAGCCTAATTAAAGAGAGGGCAGCGGGCGACTCGGGGAGAATGGCGAGCACCGCGGCACAGCGCGCGAGTGAGAGAGAGAGAGAGACTCTCTGAGGGCTTCGGCCTGAACACGGCATCAGCAGGCAGAGGATGAGAAATTAACCGCTTGCATCCTCCCTTGCACAGCCTGGAGCAGAAACACAATCTGGTCAGCGTACCGGCTGCCAGTGAAGATGCGGCGTCCATCCATCAACCTCTCATCAATCATTCATACAACTGGTTCTGGGGTTCTGGGGGTCTGGGTCCAGCTCAGCGTCCCGACCTGTCCGCAGTGGGACAGTTGTTTGATCGCACGCATGTGAAGGGATGCTGGCAGTGAACGGGTTAAGCGTACGTTCAGCATCCACTCTGACAGTGAGAGCCAGATGGTCATGTAGGGCACTTACATGGAGATGGACCTACACAGCCCCCCCTGCTGGAACACACACACACACACACACACACCCTCAGCACCCACGCACACTAATCTGCATGCAAACGCACACGTGAACATCTGTGGCAGATAACAGCGGCTGTGATTCCCCAGTCGTTTACCCGCCTATCTCCCCTCCCTCCTTCTACCGCCTCCTCGCTCCTCCTCCTTCCATTTCCCTCCGTCTCAGTCTGATGGTCAGAGTTAATTGGCTGCTGTCTAATTGCTGCTCATTAGCCTGAGTAACCAAACATGTGAGACGTAGCAAACAGAACCGTCCTCCGGCTCTCCCTCAGCGCTGCGCTGGTTTTTGTTTTTGCAATTCCCATTTCTAGCCCCCCCCTCCCCCAAAAAAACCCATCCAGAGGCTTTCTGCACATGACTTTGTTTGTCGCTTAATCTTAAAACTGAACTGCAAAACATTTGAAGAGACGGGTGAAATATGTTCAAGGACAAATCGATTCAGGCTCTCTGGACTTTCTGGTTTCATTCAGGCTTTCTGCAACGTATTTAATGTCAAAATGTTCGCTGTGTGATCACCGTCTACTTTGCAAACACGCACAAGAGCCAGCATACGGATTTATTCATGTTGCAGCACAAACTCCCGCCCACCTGGGGAGACACACTCGGAAAGCCTCCTCACCCACACTGGTTGTCATTTGGCACGTTCCCTATATTTGGGTAGGTCCGCTCCCATAAGCCAACCCTCCTCAGCTCCTCTCCCCATTTAATCTTAATAAGAAATGCGGGGGGTTTAATTCCTTTCAGGAGGCAAAGTGCTTTGCTGGCACAGCAGCCAAATCCATACACAAGGACTGCATCAAGCTTTAAAGTGGACATCTCAACAGCGGAGCAGTCTAGTCGGAGTGACATGAAATATGGACCCGGGTGCGTTTCTGTACAGCGAGATACAAAGGAACAGGAGCTGGTCCAGGGCCGGCCGCTGTCCTCGGGGGGGACAGCGGTGAAAAAAACTGGAGAGGGTGAGGAGAATCAGACGCTGCTGGTAAATGCACTCACACAGACAGACGCACAAACACTCACACAGACACACACACACACACACACACACTCCCAAACCCAGCGACATGCCAAGAAAATGATTTACTACTCAAAAACGGGCCCAAAATGATTAGATCAGCCTCCGGGCCCCCTGGTTCGCGTAGCACCCTGAGACAGAATGTGATGAGACACCACTTACGTTTGAGATACATC